CACGTACAGTTGTGACTAAAGTGATACAAACTAACACGTACAGTTGTGACTAAAGTGATACAAACTAACATGCACAGTTGTGACTAAAGTGATACAAACTAACATGTACAGTTGTGACTAAAGTGATACAAACTTACAATAACTAGAAATCACCTGGATGAATGTACTAACGGAATTATCAAAGTTAATTTACTCGATTGCTTCTCTCCTCAAGCGAACGAATTATCGTAACTTCTCGATTTATCCACACTTACTTATGGTTACAAAATTCAAGAATGGATAAAGAACTTAACGTACTTTTAGTTGTTTTTTTATCAAACAGAAATAAGTTCATTAACAACATTTACTCATTCATCTTTATTATATTTGGAATAAACCAGCTGTTCAGTTTTATTTGCAACTTTCGAGTGGGTAATATTGGTGTAAATTCACTTACTCCTTCTCATTACAAGCTACGTAAGATGACAGGTAAAAGTACCCAGTTTTTCTTGTGTATTTAAAGTATTTAATTTTGGTACGAACAAAAATCACGAGTTAAACTGTAATCATAAGGTATTCCTCCAGGTATTAACTCTTTACAGCAAATCTTCCATCCCAAACATCATATTGAAAAATACTAACCCTAAAAACATATAAAACTAAAACTTTGCGGTTAAACACTAAATAGAAGGAGCTGTAAACTAAAGTAAATACAACAAAAACGACATACTTTCCAGTAGTTTAACCTTTTAATATCAAAACCTTAACCGATAAAGTTGTATAAATCAAAGTTTTATTATAGTGAGAAAAATTTGGTTTATGAATTTTCTGATACATGTCATATTTATAATGAAATCGTGATAGCATTTTGGAAACATCTGCTTTCTACTTTATAGGTTATTAAAACACGATTATATTTTACTAACATTTCGAATATAACGAAAAAGAACTTCAGAATACATTCACGAAAAAATAACGAAAAACTGCAGCCATTTCTTGACCTAATTTCCCTTCATGCTTTATTTTAAGAAGAAAGTATTAATTGTTTAATCATATTTTTTAATATTTTATCTATTTTTATAATACAAATGATATTTAAAATAAGATTTAGAACAGGTTCAGAACCGATTAATTTTATTACAAGTGGTTTTGTTGTTATCGTGCAAAAGTGCTAGAAGGAATACATATATATAAAATTATAGGTAAAAGCAAGCAGTCAGCCGTGGGGAAATGAACCCCAGATCTTAGCGTTGTAAGTCCATAAAATTGCCGCTAACCCACCGGGTCAATACCATGGCTTAGAAACAAGTTATGGTTTATAGATTCCGTTTCTTGTGAACTGTGAAGCTTTGACACAGAATTGAAACAAAATAAAAAGGCAATAATTCATAATTCCGCGAGTCACATCCAAAAATTTATAAAAATATGTTTATAAAAAATATGATTTACAGAATGAAAACTATTTTTTCGTAGAATTAAATTTATACTAATTAAAACACTTAATTTTTGTTTGAGGAACAGCGAAAAAAAATTTCAATTTAAAGGGGTCCTCGTGTTACTAAAGTTTGACAACCGCTGACCAATAACACAATTAAAATCGGTGAAATTCGTAAAGAAATTAAAATCTTAAAATCATATAATTACAGAATATTGTATTTTGTTACGAGGCATGTTTCTTCAGAAGATAATACAAAGTTTTAAATAAAATCCATAAAGTTCACGAATTCTGATGTTCTCCTACGGTTTCTAAATGCTGAAAGAATGCAAAAGAAAATTATAACACAGAAACGAATAACTCTGGGTCAATCATTAGATCATTCTCAGTTTAGACTTACAATAATCTAAATTACTTACAGCAATTCATTAGTTGTGCTTCTTGTTACCCCCCCTGTTCTTATAAATATTAGCAGTGTATGTTTGTGTTTACATAACGTTTGTTTGTGTATACGTTAAGTATGATAATTCTGTATTTTATTTTCATTTGGCAAATGGAAACGTGATATAATTGGTCTACTTCATCATCTCCAGATTTTTCTATCAGGTTTTAATATCCCCCTTACTGCCACAAAACAACATGATGATATGAAGCTGAATGTCTTTTAAAAAATTAAGTTGTATACTTTAATTAAAAAAAATTAAATCCAAGTATAATGTTTTGTCTTCTTTTTACAAGTAAACCAACACTATATCACACATCATGTTCCATCTGATCTTTTGTCTCTGTTAATTTTTACTTTGGCACTTAAATTTGGAAACAAGACAGACTTGTACCATTTCTCTTCGTAATATTTCTTCCCTAAAATAATATTTTTTTCCAGCATACTGAAAGAACAATGACAATTATATTTACAACTGCTCAGCTATCATAAGAAATACATTTTTAACTGAATTTACAAGTGTATCTTAACATAAGGTAACCCATAACATGACATACAAATATTAACAAAATTACAGTATTAACCCAAAGAGGAAGCCACATTCTATGATGACCAATGATGTCTTCACCCAGAATGACTGAGCTATTTCCTGAGGATAGGCTTGGAATTGGACATTATTAGGCATACAACTGGAAAAAAAAAAGTAAATTACTTTAAAATTAAAAATTATGAATGTTTTTTTTTTAAATTAGGAAAGGTTGAAGTTTTGAAATTGCGTAAAAATAAAAACGTCAAAATGGCATTTAGTTTCTAAACCACACTCTTGCAAACGACAAATTTATTAAAAATTCACTTAAATAAACAAGACTAAACCAAAATTTAAATATACCTCAGAACTTTATTATCTAGTACAAAATACAATTAGACAACAAAAAAAAGTATCATATTTTCAAATTTAAAAGGACAATTGTGATTTTTTGGGGGGAAAAAATAAAAAAATTATTTCATTTTAAACGTTAAACCTGAAATTTCCCATCCTCTCAAAAAAATCATTCTGACGTTTTTGGCATCGTTCCGAACATCACCCTTTCCTTAAAAAACAATAATATTTGTCAGACTGGCAAGGTTTTCGAGTAGACCCAAAGCAATTTTGAAAATAAAATTTCAAATTAGTTAAAAAATCCTCTATAAATATAAACTATGTTGCTTAAAATATTTAAACTGATACATTTTCCTAAAAAGTCAATCAAATACAAAAAATTATATAATTTGTTTATTAACAACTGTCATGTGTATAAAAACAAAATGAGTGAATCCAGCGGTGCTGGCAGAACGATCAATGAGAATCGAGATCTCATGTTTGATCTCCACTCGACCGGAATTACGTTAAGTTTATAATTCCAGCAGAAGCTGTGACGTCTGTAGTATGGTTAGGGTTAGCAAATATACATTACATACGTATAAAGTATAGTCAGGGTTAGCAAATATACATTATGGACGTCCAAAGTATGGTTAGGGTTAGCAAATATACATTATAGACGTCCAAAGTATGGTTAGGGTTAGCAAATGTACATTATACACGTCTGAAGTGTGGTTAGGGTTAACAAATATACATTACAGACGTCTGAAGTATGATTAAGGTTAGCAAATATACATTATAGTCAGTTTTACAGCAAGTATAAAACATTGGTATCATCCAACAGCGAAGAAGTATAGGTGTCAAATGTCAAGGAAACCGAAACATTTTTCAGTGGTCTGCTAGTTGTTGTTTTTTTTTTTTTAATAACTGAAAGACATTAATTTAACTTATTAAAACGTTATTTCAAGAGCTCATAAAAATTTTTACTGTCCATTTAACAGTGTCACAATGTATGGGCTAGGTGTAGCCTAGTAGTTAAGTGTCAAATTGTAGAACAAAAGGTCCTAGGTTCGAGAAGTGAGCAAGCTTTGCACTTTCAGCTGTGAGAACAGTTTTCAAATAACAATCAATCCCGTTATTCGTTCAAAGAGACGGATAAAATTCTTGTGGCAACGAGTACTACTGGTGCCCTGCCCACCGCAAGTATCGAAACCAAATTTTTGGCGTTATAAGTCATCAGATTTGCCGCTGAAACACCAGGGAGCCAATAAACAACTCTCGTCAGGCGGAATAGTAGGGTGTGACCGTCATTCTTATAACACACTCACTTCCCCAAAGTGCAGAGCGTGATTTTTATTTTACTTTGGTTGTAATGAGACACGAATAATGGAACCTCAGCTCTAAGGTCTGGCACGCTAATCTCAATCACGCTTTACTCCCTATTAAGGTTTACAGATTTTAAAAAAAGCGGAGTGAAAATAGAGGAGTCTAATACATCATTCTGTAATTGGAGCTTTCAATCTGAACAATATTCTATCTAAAAGTGCAGATCAGAGACCCCTAGAATTCAGGTTTAACTGTTCCTAGATCTGAACTATTGACCAGAAGAGCTAGTCAAAAAATACTCTGACAACAGGACATCAACAGAATGAACTGATTCATCAAAATACGCCGACAACAGGACATCAACAGAATGAACTGATTCATCAAAATACGCTGACAACAGGACATCAACAGAATGAACTGGTTCATCAAAATACGGTGACAACAGGACATCAACAGAATGAACTGATTCATCAAAATACGCTGACAACAGGACATCAACAGAATGAACTGGTTCATCAAAATACGGTGACAACAGGACATCAACAGAATGAACTGTTCCATCAAAAATACGATAAAACTGGCAATTTGTTTTTCCTCAAACCACTCTTAGTAAAACTGTTCTTGAAAATTATATTTTGGATTTCTTAATATTATTTCTTGGCCCTAAATGGCCTACTGATTAGCATGGACTGACCGTGAAATTAAGGATTCATGGTTCGCGTCATGTTGTCCCCAAAACTCGCTCCGCACATTGGGGCCGGGGTGCGTTATAAGAGTGACAGTCAAATTCTAATATTCTATCAGATTATAGTAGCCCAAGAGTTGGCAGTGAGCGTTGTTGATTAATGTGCCTTCCCTATAATTATTTCAGTTCAAAGTTAGGCTAAAGGTCCTTTGGCCATTTAGAATTCGTTTGTTTTATTTGCACTAGCGTAGCTAGGAATTATTTACCACAGAGGCAAAACTATAAATGCCTATTAAGTTAGAACTGTTTGTTTGTTCCCTACTTAATGGGCTATCTATGCTCTGCTCAACACGGTATCGAAACCCGTTTTTTAGTGTTATAAGCCTTTAGACTTGCCGCTGAGCCACTGGGGGGCCTCAAGTTAGAAACTTTATTTTTGTCAGCGTAATTTACTTTTTATGTTAATTCAGTTTTAAGTACATACAAACCCAGTAATTCTCAGAGAAATGTATTAAATCACTGAATATGCCTAGTTTATAAACAAAACGACGTTTCATGGGATAGAGTTATTAACGCTAAGATACCACTAATCGCCTTATTTCTAAAAATAAAACAATCACACCAGATTTTCGAAAAGTGCATGACGCAATCCTGATAGAGCGTCTAGTCGCCTATAGTTTAACTACGTTAGATTAATGTTTGTTGGATTTCGTGCAGAGGTACACGAGGGCTATTTACGCTAACTGTCGTTAATTTTAAGGTAATAGACAAAGGGAAAAGCAGTTAATCAACGCCATCTACCACAAGCTTTTGTCTGTTTCTTTTGTTAAAGCTATATAATGAGCTACCGATGGATCAGTTCATTCTGTTGATGTCCTGTT